TGGAAGATAACATTTTTCCCAAATTGAAAATGTATTTCCAATAATACTTACCTCCGCTGACACTCTTCCACCCTTCCTCCCCACTAAGAGCCGATGTTAGAGATTGGAATGGTGTCAGTCTTGAAAAAGTGCTACAATTATGTGAATGAGGGGCTTATATACAGTACCAGGATAGAGGGCACATTGACGTAAGTGGAGAGTATATCGCCAAGGGCAGTTGGGGGGGGTATAAAAGACTGGAGCAAGCAAGAAAAAATCAGATCCAATGCTTAGATGGGCAAAGATGGAAATCCTAACAGTCAAAAAATAGCTATAAGTTTCAGCAGAGATAAGTATTATTGGAAATACATTTTCAGTTTAGGAAAATGTTAACTTAGATGAAAACTTAAATCAGGTAACACATCAAAATATCTAATATTAGATGAAACATAAATCAAGTGAAACATCAGAATACATAAAATTAGCTGAAACATAAATCGGGTGATACATCAAAATATATAAAATTAGATGAAACATAAATAAGGTGACACATCAAAATATCTAAAATTAGATGAAACATAAATCAGGTGAAACATCAAAATACATAAAATTGGATGAAGCATAAATCAAGTGAAACATCAAAATACATAAAATTAGATGAAACATAAATCAAGTGAAACAACAAAATACATAAAATTAGCTGAAACATAAATCAGGTGAAACATCAAAATACATAAAATTAGATGAAACATAAATCAGGTGAAACATCAAAATACATAAAATTAGATTAAAACTTAAATCTGGTGATACATCAAAATACATAAAATTAGATGAAAACTTAAGTCCAACTGTAAGAAGCTACAAAAACTACAAAAAAGAGCATTGCATTAGTCAACAAATATGTAATTGAGTACAATGTAGCAAAGGCAGATCCATTTACCAATGGTTCATGAATATAAAAAAAGCATTAAAAATGCATTTCATAATGCCCACATATTTTACTTTTAACTACAACCTTGGCATCTTTCTTGCTTGGATCATTTCACCATGCATTATCTCTGAAAACACACATTTTGTTCAGGTCTGAAAGAATATAATCATAAAACTAAAATGACAAGCTTTGTTATACAAAATCTATGTTCAAATTTCTCAAGAGGAAGCATTCAAGAAAGTTATTGAAACTATCATCAGTCATCAGTGACCCCGAACAAAGAATTGCAACAACCTCTTCAAAAGTAGTAGCCTTATTTGACTTAACAAAGTTTTGACCTCAGTTGAACAATACAAATTACTGCTAAATTGATGGACTCTGGCACAACTTTATGTAGCTTGTTAGCCAGTTTCTTTCTAATTGAACTGGAGATGAAGCCTTTTACAACAGCTATAAATCTTTTGTACACTGTGCACAATATGTTGAGGATGTTTTCTGTCGTTGTAACTCTTGACTTCAAGAAACATAGTTTTTTCAACCATATCAGCAACATTAACTTCACCATTGAAGATGAAAGAACATTCTCAATAATTGTTTTGAATGTTCACATCAATTGGGTTAATACCTGTGTTTATAGGAAACCAACACACTCAGAACAATATGTACATTGGAAATCCACATACCATCCCCAACAAAGACTTGTAGACTTAAAACGTATAATTCAAATCATCTTTAACATTTTTACCCCAGTAATTTAAACAGTGAATCAAGGAAAATATCTGAGATTTAAATTCATAAAAATGGTTATCTAGAAGAAAAAGTTGAAAACAATCAAAGAAACTAAAACCAAAAAAATCACAAAACAATCAATCTAACAAGAAACCACAAAACTTTATTGCAACAGCTAACCCTTTTATAAATCATGTCAAAGACAACCTTGTCAGAATATGGAAGTGGTTCATCAAAAAGCACAACATTTACATTAACTCATTAATTATACACAAACCATGAATATAAATGAATAACATCATTAGAATAACTTATTAGAAACAAAAGGACACCCAAAAATTATATGTGAAATCAAATGCACCATGTGTGAAATATGTTATTTAGGTAAAACTGAATAGAACTGAACACAAAGATTAAAGAACACTAGAAAGAAACGTTCAATGTTTTCAAACAATTAAAAAACAACCATTAAAATTCCATAAAGTGAAACTGATTTTAACAGAAGAAAAATCACAAATGTTATGCTGATTAACTCTCTTGCTATAATCTTGGCTGACTTGATTGAGTTTGTAGCCTCAAAATAACCATCAGTTTCTGTAGTATAACTTTTAACATGTTTTGTTTATCTTCACAAAATTTGACAAGCTTTCAGTCAACGTTACAAGTCTTTTGTATAACAAAAAATCCAATTTTTTAATAAAATATTTTTACTAAACATTTGTCCACAAACATATGGAGTTAGTGTGTTGACTGCTCCAAGTACAAAGTGAATTTCATATTAAGATTAAAAGTACTCTTCTTCACCTAAAAATTCTCAAATTTCATTTTTGCAATCTCTAAAACCTCCTAAATAAATATCAAGAATTTTGTTTCAGTAAAACTTTATATTTTATCTGTTATTTTCACTACCATAATCCTATACTCATTCAGTCAATTTGACTTGCCTCATAACCACCAAAAAAAAATACACAGTAGATCTAAATTACTTTTTTTTTCTAGAATGACTGCAGATTGTAACAGGAAACTACAATTGTTTATTCTAAATAGCTCAAAAGCTCATAACAGTATACACCTGTTTATACTTAAATTTTGTTTTATTAACACTTGACCATCACACAAGTTATAAATCCCTTAGCAAATGCATAGCTCATGTTATTGTATTTAATTATGTAATGCATGAGCTGATGTGAATACTGCAAGAGAAATGTTCAAACTGGAGGTGAAATACTCTTTACAGAAAACATAATACATCATTTGGAAGATTAAACTTTGGCTTTCTGTTGGTTATAAATAATATAAAAATTCAGAGAGAACTGTTGACAATTAGCGAAAGAGAGGATGTGACAGGTGGGTGTGTCAAGTGGGTCTGATTTTCTAGTTTATGGCTCCATAAACAAATAAGATTGAAGGCTCTAAGATTATGCTTTGCCTTATTAATATCTATATTATAATGAGTAATTTACATTAAATTTCATACTTTTTAGAGGGGTGATAAATAAATAGGGAAGACTTAGAGAACAAATATCACAATTCTCATATTAGGGGAGATTGAGGATTTTTCAAAATATTTCCTTATAAAATTAAAAACTTAAAACTTATAGAATATTGAAATTTGATTTATTAACTATGTTTTAATACCAATTTTATTAGTATAAAAGGATAATAAAGCAATTTAATTAAATTTTGAATGTAACTCAATAAAAAATCTTGACATGTGCACTTCGGCCTACTCATAGTTAGAGAGTTAAACAAATATCCTGGAACTCTTCTATCTCTACCAATTATAACCCTTAAAATTCTAAACTATGGGTTTTGTATTTTGATATATTTTTGAAATATTCCCATGTTAAATATTTATTGCTCAATGTGTACACTGAAAATAGTTGTAACACAATAAACTTGTAATTGTTTTAATCATACATTGCCTGAAGATAACCTGCTCGTTGAAAAGTTGCAGTTTTAATTGCATGAAAGATTATTTCCACTCTAAAGCTGATTATGATATTAAATCCTTACCATTTATTAAATATTTAAAAAAGGTTATAATGTTACTATTTTAACTGCATGGTTTTACTCTGAAATCACTAGTTAAAATTAATATAACATAAAGCTTAAAAATATTTATTAGTAAAAGTATTTTGACTACCAATCTCCATACTGAAATCTTTTTTTTTTGTAAGAAATATTAAAAAACGTTTTTTAAACATGCTGTCCTTAAAAACTGTGACATTTACTTGTAATAATGGGTCTACATCTTAGAATTTTCAATAAGCTTTTAAGTAGATAAATTAGATATATATATCAGTCAAGAATAAAGACTTATCCCTTGGGATTAGTGACACAGAAACAATATATTAGTTTGCCATTAGCATCTATGTTATATATTAATGCTCAATGTATAATTTTAAGTTGTAGCAATATACAAGTTTTTCAAGACATTGTCATTTTATACTTCTTATATTCCAATTTGAAAGTGAAAACTATATATATCTAAACTTGAGTGTGGTAAAGTATATAAATTACTTTTTCAGCTGAAGAATCATGTTCCTCCAGGCATGTGCTTTAATGTACCTTGTGACTCAACAGCCAAAGAACAAACAGAAATTGTTTTCAAATACTACAACATCCTAGTAACAGAAGATGACTTGTTTACTCGCTGTCCAGTCAGTGGTTCTTTTTTTACATATCTTTATTGTGCTCAGATGTAAATTTCTTGTACCATTGGTAGATAAGTGATTTAATTAATTAATAAGCATCTTGGTTATAATCCAAAGGTAATATTAAAAATTACCTGTAAAACTAGTTATGACTTAAATACATAATGAACACTATACTGTTGTTGTCCCTTAAATACATATGAGTAATTTAGTAAGTCGCATCTGACTGTTAATTAAAATATTTCTAAATTTAACTTGTTGACACATTTTCATAACCCAGTTAACCTCTTTGCATTAAGTTCATGTTTACCATGGGATGGTAGCATAATTCTTATGATTGAACAAAATACAAAGGTTATAAGACAACTATTTAACATTGTACACTTGTTGAGACAACATACAGAGGCTGACCAGATGGAAAGCAGGTTAAACATCCGTGGAATGAAAGTATTGTAGGTGAGACACAAACTAAAGAATTTTTATATCTGTAGAGATTTTCACAGCCTAATGCTGGACCTTCAAGTATTGAGGCTTAAAATACAGACTCTTTGTAGTTGTGTTCTCAACCTGATGCTGGACTTCTCAGAACAAAGGCCAAAAATAGAGACTCTTTGTAGTTGTGTTTTCAGCCTGATGCTGGACTTCTCAGAACAAAGGCCTAAAAATACAGACTCTTTGTAGTTGTGTTTTCAGCCTGATGCTGGACTTCTCAGAACAAAGGCCTAAAATACAGACTCTTTGTAGTTGTGTTTTCAGCCTGATGCTGGACTTCTCAGAACAAAGGCCTAAAATACAGACTCTTTGTAGTTGTGTTTTCAGCCTGATGCTGGACTTCCCAGTACTGAGGCCCAAAATAGAGACTCACCATGTCTTTATGGTTGACAATCACAGTCGTAATTGTCTCTGTGCTTGACCTTTTGACCATTCAATAACAGGTAACCTTTATGGATTTTGGAATGCCAGTGCCTGATGAGCCTGCCATACAATAATCATCAATACATTGATTATAAGGCAGAGATGGTTTAACCCTTTCCACACGGGTCAAAGGCCACATCATCTCGTTTGTTGACTCCATTCAAAATTTTATTGAACTACTTTCTATGAATTTATGTCAATAAGTTTGGTATCAAACTGTAGATTATAATTCAAATTTTAGTATTATACATTATTTGATCTCTTAATTTAAAAGTAAATATTAAAAAAACACTTGTGTTTTTGTGTGTCGCATAGTATGTTGAATGCATCATGGTTCAGGTTAGATGTCAAAATACAAAGTCTATAGTTTTGTACAAATTAGGAACTCAAATTACTGATATTAATCAACTAGCATATAAAATAAGAACCTCCTATCTATTATATTTTCCGAGATAATGTTCATGTACTGAATCAAACACAGTGGCCCCACTCACCTCTTTCAATTTTTGGAAACACTCTTATGTACACTTAACCAATCTAAAGCTCAGAATGTCCCCCAAGTGGCTTTCTCAGCCATTTTCAAATGTTAGGATGTCATCTCGTTCTTTCAGTACAAATCTACGTACTGGTAAGGTAAGTCTTTAGTCTGCTTGAAATTTCATATTCTTTTAGACCGAAATACAGCTTAGTTACTAAGCTTGATAAATTATAGTGGAATTCAATGGTATTGATATAGTAATTTATTATTGTTTGGTTATTCACCTGTATATATATAAAACCTAAAAAAAAGTATTTTGTTTCACATTCTCCACATGCAAAATTTTGTAAGGCTTACCAACCTACGATAAACAGCAAAGGAGTACAAAGATCATAACTAGAAGAGATAATTGTTTGCTTTACTTCTTAATATACTGTTCTATATTTGAAAAAAAATATGTTAAATAAATTATTTGTAAATAGTAATAATGTATATACATATATTATGTATATTAATTGAAATGTGACAAAATACTAGTCCAGTAAAACACAGCCAAGACAGGTCACTTTTGTAAAGTCTAAAGGTCAGTTTTATATTACTGGATATGGTAACATGAGTGCACGTGTGCCACATCATTGTAACTTCTGTATTAAGCCAGGCATGGCTGAAAGGTCAGTATAATAAAAGTAATAAATATATATATGTATAATGTTATTAGCTTTAAGCTTTTTAGTCTAAACATTTGTATTTGCATGTTATAATTTGTAGTCATTCTAGAAAGAAAAAGGCATAATTTATATTTATTTCCTATTTTTTTTTATGTTGGTTAAGAGATCGGTCAAATTGACCAAAACCATACAGAGATTCATTAGTGAAAATAACAGATAATATATATAAAGTTTTTTTCTTAAGAAACGTTTGATAACTATATTAGTATCTGGACATTATAAAGATTTTGTATGTGAAATTTGAAAATTTTCTTATGCATAAAAGTATGTTTAATCTTAAAATGAAAATTACTTTGCATGTTCGATAGGTAACATGCGGAAAGAAAAAAGGCATGAGAAAAACACTGCTTAACAAACCTTAAGACTTAAGAAAAGAAATGATATTTTGCATATGAAAGCCTTGTAATGTTTACTGATAATCTGCCACATTTCCTGAATATACACTTACTAATTTGAAAGTTATAGTATGAAAACTATAACAAACACTAAATGGTTACAAGGTCGGTCCCAGGGACCATGCATGTGCTGAAAGAGTTAATTTGAATATTTAGCAGAAAGATAATGCATTACAGCATTGTTCCTGATGTACTAAAGTTTGGTTTAAAGAAACTATTGGTGTTTACCACATACAAAGAATCAAATAAAAACTTTCCAAAGCTATTCAGTTTAAGCAAACAATAAAAATATATTTCTTTAAATTGTGGACACTTTAATACTTTATGGCTATTGTAATACTTTATGGTTGCTGTAATACATTGTAGTTATTGTTATACCTTACAGATACTTTAATACATTGTGGGTACTGTAATACATTTTAGTCACTGTAAAACAATATAGATACTGGAAGACTGTATTTATTTTGATACAATATGGTCACTGTAAAACTGTTGTAGTTACTTTAATACTTTGGTACAGTGTTTTCTACATGGTTCATACATTTGGTTATTATACAGCTGGTACAATGTGTTCTGCATGGTTGGTACATTTGGTTATTATAAAATCTTTGTGGTCACTATAATACTTTATAGTTACTGTTATACTTTGTGGTCACTGATTATTTTATATTTATTGTAATACACTTTAGTTATAGTAATACTTTGCATTTAGTATAATAGATTTTGGTTTTTGTAATACTTTGTAGATGCTGTAATATACTGTGGTTAATGTAATATCTTATAGATACTTTAGAAATGCTACTCACCTCTCTGCACCACAAAGAGTTATTAACTCATACATTGGTGTGTAAATTCCTGCATTGTTTGTTGTACTAGCCTATGATGTAATCATAATTAGACTAGAGCCCTCCACCACCAGAGGGTGACACATCCTTTTGTGCAAGAATTTCATTAGCACTAGCATGTGAACACAAGTTCATTTTTTCCTTTGCTCTGCTTTTCTTCAAATGTTTTTTATCATAAGAGATAACTGAATTTTTGCACTTATTGTTTTAACCTTTAGTATTCATTGTGTAGTCCTTTTTTTTACTTAATTTTCTTGATCATCTGACAGAATGATATTAAATTTTAAGCTTATCAGTAGGAACTTTCATTTGAATTATCTTCAATTTTATTTTATTTTAATCAAATTTGTACTTTTGGGGATGCATGTCTCACTGTCTGCTTCCATTGTTTAATCCAAATTATGGGTTTTGTTCAGTACTTACCAAGATCATCATTAGGCCTATGCGGCATCTCCTTACCCGGCTTATTTTTGTTTTCCTTGATAAGATAAAAAAAAGGGACAATCACAAAATCAATTTAATGATTTAATTGTATTAATCATTTATGTTCCCACATTTCTGGCATCTCTTGAGGTTTATAATATTGTTTTACAGGAGTCATCTAATATTATAATAGCAACTAGAGACACTTTGATGGTTAGTGATGTTACCACCATTGTGCATCATGTGGTTGGTTCCATTCTCATCTCATATCTAGAATTTTAACCTTTTGCTTCTGTTATTTCAGCTGAGTCTGTTTGTGTTTTACCACTGTTGCTTCCATGCATACCTTTGCTTCTCATTTCTTCTTACTGATGTTGATCAGGTGGTCCCACAGGAATTTACATGGTAGTGCTAGCAAGTTGCAGTAGCTCTTTGTGTTGCAAAGAGATGAGAATCTTTCTGAAATATGTTTTCACATAAGAAAATTGTTAAATTTAGTACATTATGTTTACTTTAATACATTTTAGTTACTTTGTAGATACTGTAATACAGTGTGAGTTTTATTTATAGGTCTGCAATGGAAGTGAATATGTTTTTATTCCTTCAAATGATCTCTATAACATGTGGCTCCATCATCAAAGTGTCCCTTGTCCAGTGCTAATTAAGAAGGAAAGAGTACATGAATACACTGGAGGTTCTGTTAACCTTGACAGTGCAGTAATAGATAGTGGTGTTAGAATACAGCTTGACTGTCTTGCAGAACCTGTGTTTGACAGGTTGGCCCTGTTTTATGTGTGTAAAAGTTGTGGAAAAGTATACTGGGATGGATCTCACCATGATCACATAAAACAGACATGGTCAAAACTTCTTGTTGATGAGGTAAGGAAATATTAAACATTTGTTTTTAAAGATTTATTAAGTAGTATGTAATTAAAACATTCTTATATTTTTGAACAGCTCACATACATACATACATACATACATATTTAAAGATGGCTTGAATGGGTACTGAAGAAAACTTTATTATAAGTTAAACTGTAAAAAATGTATAACATTTCGACAACGTTTTGTCATTATCAGGTACACGTTATGTACATAGGAACAGGAATATATATATATATATATATATATGCAGTAAAGAACAAAGAAGTCATATGACCTGAGGTTGTTTAACAGCTTAGTAAAGGGTGTTGGTTTAGCTTAGGGTTTGTTTTGTTCAACTAAGATTGCTTCCTTGACTTTTTTGTTTGTTGATGTTTGGCTCTTTATTTAAAATTAAAGTGTTTTTAATAGATATACTATTGTTACGACTGATCGTTTGTTAATTTCCCGTAGAAATTATTTCCGAAATCTTCAGCGATACAAGTCCTTTCTTAAATAAAACTAGTTTATTCTTTCTCAATACAACTTTGCAATACACAGAATTTCCACTGTCAATTTAACTTAACACATGCTATAATTCACAAGAATTCATGCACGTTACTTATGGTCACTACCGCTTACTTGACTCAATTATCTGTCTATCTGCAATTATTGTCTCCCTTTATCTGCCTGGCTTATATATTAAAATAGAGGGCGTCTGGCAAACACTCGAGCCTTCATGATCCTTCTAGAAACTCATCACATGTTACCAGCGTCACTTGACTTCCGCTGTCGTAACACTGTCCCTT